CATTTAATTTGGATGAGTACTAATGCATGCCTTAAATCTAAAAATATACGACTTCTAAAAAGTAAAAAATAAAAAAAATTACCTTGATGGCCTTCCAATCTCTTATGAAATCCAAAGATAGACCAAATGATGATAGGACGGGGTCTTCCGAGAAATACATGAATGGAGCGCGAATTTTGATGTCATATTTCCTGCAGAATGGGACCCAACGGATGGCAAACTTTGAGGCCTCAGTGAGCGAGTAGTAAGTGATCGGCGAACAACCATCGTCGGATACATAACATGCTAGACGGTTTGCCGGATAGTCAACAGCCAACAACGACAATACTGTGTTCACCGTGATGATTGGTGGCTCCAGGTCAGAGTCTGCCGTCGTAACAAATAAGTCAACGGCCGGGAGCTCACTCAAATCAAATCTGTATTTTCAAAATTATACAATTACATTTAATTTTGTTCGTGAAAAAATTATTTTGATGAAAAAAAAACACGGGTATTATATTAAGACAGACTAAATTGCACTCGATTGTAAAGTATATTGGTTAAAAATAAAATAAAAAATTTCAATTTATCAAATATAACCTAAACCCTAAACATACCACCCAATTTTTATGCATTTACATATTTAATAACTAAACCTTATTCCTGATGTTTATACCGCATAAATCTTTCATGCCACATTAAAAATGATATCATTTTAATATTTTAATAGTGATACATATTTTCATGCATTTGTGTATTCAATATGTAGATGCATAGGAATTAAGTGGTATAGATGTAAAATTGCAAATATTTCATTTTGTTAGGTTGTTCTTAATCTCACATATTCTCTCATATATTCAACTAAATTATTAAATAATACAAATAAATTTTAAAAATAAATGCAACTAAATTATAACTAAATTATTAAATATTTTCAAATAAAAGCTAAAGTTTAATAAAATTAGTCACTGGTACATAATACATTTTTATCCTAAAATTGATGGTCTAGCAGTGTCATTTGAATTGCACACATCCAAAACAAACGTCTAAGTAATCCTTATTTAAAAATAGGATGCGCTATTGCTGACAGCTCTAAAAACTCTATTGAAAAATTACGGTCCTTAAAACGGAAAAGATTTGCGTACGTAAGACGTACGTAGCGCTGCGTACATAATGGAGGATATATGGGCGTTATATCTACATTATAATTATGTTATATCTCTTGTAACCTCCATATAACTTTCATTTAACTCACATGTAACATACAGATTTGTGAAAACAGAAGCGCAGAACTTATTTGCAAGTTCAGATAGGTTACAGAAAGGAGGCGAGTCGTGCGGCCAAACAAGCCCTAAAATAATTATGTCGCACGAAAAAAAAGGATAATTACATATAGAGCATAGAAAACATTGTTATTTAGAAATGAAGCACCTAGTTGATTTTGCATACATGATAATGATGCATTTATGCATACCACAATCAAAACATTGTGAATTTGACAAAAACGAAAAATATGAGCTAGTGCTTTATAAAGACCTTTGATATCTGAATGAAAGAGAGTGCTTGATTCATAAATAGAAATGTTTTGGATACCGTGTATGTAATCGGCCTAAAAATACATTAACTAATTTAATTTTTTTACTAAAAAGGCTATTCTGCATTGATCATTTGTCTCTCTTCAACCACATGTATCATTTGATGATATCACGTAGAAAATTAAGTTATAATGATATGAATTTTGGTAATAAGAAAATTTGAGGGGCAAAGGGAACGGTTAATAAACATAAGGGGCATTCACATATATCCCTCATAATTCTTACCTATTCACATATCTAATATCTAAACATTGCATAGCTCTCAATTCTTTAATACATGATGATACCAAAAAAGAAATACATCTTTTCATCCATAAATCAAGTGTAAATATCAAATATTATGCATGTAAATGCTCCCTAATGATTACAATTTATATATCTGAAATATAAATAGATTACTTACTGACTGAGTAGGCGATGGGGATATGTTTTGTAGATCACCGGATTCCATTTGGCGTTGAGGTAGAGAAGCCAGACGAAGGTGAACCAGGCTTCGCAGAAGAAGGCTGTCAGGCAGACCAAGTTGGGCGCTGCACGAAGAGTAGAGACGCGGTATGTGAGGAGCGAGAGGAGGAGGGAGAGTATGAGGACCTCCGCCAGTCTCTTCGCCGTGTTTTTTGTACATATTCTCTCGTTCAGAGGCAATGAAATTTTGGTTTCACCCATTCCTGATTCCTTCTTCTTCCTGCTACCACCAATCCTATATTTATTAAACATATTCAGACATGATTCATCTCTATAATGGAGATCGAAGATATTACAATGGAGGACTACTATTAATTTGATGTTTACATACCCGTTTTTAAATGCACAATTACAAAAATGACAGATTTACGTACACACCACTCAATTCTTATGTATTTACATATCTAACACCTAAACTTCAATTTTTACTTACACATCACCTGACCTATGTTTGTATAAAAATGTCTATTTTTGATGTGATATGAAAGATTTGGGTGGTA